TACGACTTGTTTATAGCCAGGTGCAAACATTTTACACTTTAACCAAATGTCTGTGAAGCATTTTCTTGTGCCTCATCTCATTTGACCCTCACAGAAGTCCTGGAGTAGGTAGATAGGAGACTTGGTGGAATCCTATTTTCTTTTGATTAGCCAGAAAACGGAGTTTTAGAAAGCTTAGAAAATTGACCCAATTGAAAAGAAGAAATGGTGGATCTTGAAAATGACTTCAGGTTTTCTCACTGTGCAGAATATAGTCAAACACTGCTGCAGTTAAATATTTTACCCTTTGTTCTCCCTGCATGATCTACAATAATAATCTGTGTTGTGTTGATATTTACTGTTGTGTTGCTGACAATTACCTGAAAGAGAAGTTGGGGTGCTTCCCTGGGCTGGAAAAAATTTAGCTACATCAGAAAGCAGGTCTAATTAAGCAAGTTTATTCTACATCCATACTAATAAAAGGGTAATATGCTAATTAGACTGGATGTCTTCTGGATGTCCTTCCAGACAAAGCCACCGTGGCTACAAGGGCCGAGGGCCTGCAGCCGTGGCTGCAAGGGCTGGTCCAGCACTACGGTCCCTTTTGCAGAGGCTGCGGGAGAAGGCGCTGCAGGAGAAGGCAAAAGGGAGAAGGCCGGCGCTAAGGGGGAAGAGGGAAGGTGGCAGTTAGGCAGTTAGGGGAATTAGGCCAGGAGGCGAGAGCTGTTAGGCAGTTAGGGGGATCAGGCTGGCAGGGGAGCAGTTAGGGGCATCAGGCAGGCAGGCAGAGGTGGTTAGGAGCCAGTGGTTCCAGATTGTGAGAGGGATCCTGGATTGTAGAGGGTGTAGGCCGGGCTTAGGGACACCCCCTCCCATGCACGAATTCGTGCACTGGGCCTCTAGTATATATATAAAAGGCTAAGTTGACTTGCACATGCGTGATACATATCAAGCTCTTGTGCCAATCACATGCACATGTTTCGATCTGTCATTGTCGATTGTGAATTTGGTTGACAATTCTTGGTTCACAAAATACCACGTGTGGGCGTGCACATACAATGTGATTGAAACTTCGTGGCCCATGTGCAGAACTTGGTATTTTGTGGAAGAGCCACATTCAAGGGACAAAGAGCCACATGTGGCTCGCGTGCCGCAGTTTGCCGACCACTGCACTAGTATGCTATGTGTGAGAATCTAATGTGTTTACTCTATGTGGGGACCTTCTAATGCACATTAAATAGTTGATTGACTTCTTCCCTTCCCCCCCATGTAGAGAAAATGCTAGGATATACAAATTAGAGTCTAGTTCTCCTTTATTAATGTCATTCTTTACCTATGCCATTAGTCAAGGTGCTGTTGATATCTATATATATAAAAGGCTGATATGCAAAGTGTCCCTTCGGGAGTTCCACTGGGAGAATGGGAGCTCGATTGCTTGCTATGATGTTTGCTGACCACCAGGGGGTGGTGTAGAACATGGCAGGTGATGAGTGGCGGCAGTGGGGTGCTGAGGGAGTGAGGGAAGGAGGCAGCGGGAGGCTGGGGGAACTGTGTGGTGGAGGCACGCAGGTAGCTAGGGAAGGAGGAGGCAGGGAGGTGGGGAACTTGATTGGCCCTGATGGCTGGCCAGGCCTAGGTACCCTACCTGTGCAAGAATTTTGTGCACCAGGCCTCTAGTAGAAAAGAATACAAAATAATCTGCTTTTCAAGTAAAGAATGGTATTAAGAGTGAAATTCTAGTATGTCATAGAAAGTAGTCGAAAATATATTTAATAAACATACAAATGGCCTTAGAAACATAAAAATACTGAGAACAGATGCCCAGCTGGTGTGGTTCAATGGTTTAACACTGACCTATGAGCACATGCCCAGGTTGCAGCCTTGTTCCCCAGTAGGGGGCATGCAGGAGGCAGATCAATGATTCTGTCTCATCATTGATGTTTCTGTCTCTCTCTCCCTTCCTCTCTGAAATCAATAAATATCTTATATACTAAAAGGGTAATATGCAAATTGTCCCCTCAACTGGGAGTCCTTGAATCC